AGGGAACCTGGTGTTTGGCATATGTATTTATGACAATTAGGACTTTGTTAGCTACTTAGTTCACTAAAAATCTGATTTATAGTATGTGAAATATGATGTATGAGTTTTTGGGTAGTTAGTTTGATCAAATGGACTAAGTCACTAACCAAATGAGCAAATTGGTATCATATCTGAAGTATATACATGTTTTCAAATCAATTAAGTTTCAAAGATAATAATTTGATTGTTTGGATAGGTCTTCAATGCATCCAAATCAGGTTTTAAAGTTGTTGAATTCTGGTGTGGCGTTGAGCGGTAGGGGTTTAGCACTNATAGACATCTGTTTTGAATTTTATGATAATGTATTATGCTACATATTGAAATTGGTAGTTGATATGGTGAATTCATGTTGTGAAATGCTTGCTAAATTTTGCTTGATTTTTTATGATCTATGAATGATAAGTTGTTATTTTAGTGGGTTAATTAGCTGTTGTACTTTGGTTTGATAATAGGTTAGAGTAATGGTTGTTTTGGGTTAAAAGTTAGTGTTTTGATAGGTGAAATTCTATAAGAATTGTTTTATGAGGGAACCTGGTGTTTGGCATATGTATTTATGACAATTAGGACTTTGTTAGCTACTTAGTTCACTAAAAATCTTTTTTATAGTATGTGAAATATGATGTATGAGTTTTTGGGTAGTTAGTTTGATCAAATGGACTAAGTCACTAACCAAATGAGCAAATTGGTATCATATCTGAAGTATATACATGTTTTCAAATCAATTAAGTTTCAAAGATAATAATTTGATTGTTTGGATAGGTCTTCAATGCATCCAAATCAGGTTTTAAAGTTGTTGAATTCTGGTGTGGCGTTGAGCGGTAGGGGTTTAGCACTGAGCTCTGCAAAGTTAGAGAGCCACTGGACTTCAGGATGTTGAGCGACCATTTTGGGCGCTAAGCGTTGTGAAGTCAGTGAGCTATCTATTTGTGGGGCGTTAAGTGGTATTTAGTGGCGCTTAGTGCCACTTCTTCCCCTACAGGTCTAGACCCATTTTCTCTTTAATTCATTGAGCGTCAGTCTAGTCATTGGGCGTCCTATTTCGAGTAATTCTATGCTTTTAAGTTTTATGATTCTGGTTTGGTCTGCACTGATTTTAAATAGATTCAATTGATTACTTGTGTGAAAATCATGGATGTTGATAGTTGATGAACATTGTTATATCTATGGTTAAAGAATGTTGTGAAAAGAGTTCCAAGGCAAATTTCTTATGGTTGTTTAGTAGCATGATGTATTGGTGTAGAGACTCGGTCTTGGAAGTTATCATGACGCTCCAATAATCACTTCATCTCAAGTAGAGAAGGAGGTTATGTGGTGAGGAATAACAAGAAGTCCTAGTCTATGGTTTGATTCTTTTGCCATAGGTGGTAGATGGGCTAATATTGTGTGGTAGTTTGGGTGGACAAGTTGTTCCACCACTAGAAATGCAAAACTTGTCATAACATCAATACATATATTTGGATGGTCAAGTTTAGAGTTAATGTATGTATGCTTAGGATTTGTTTGATTGGCTGATGTATTATTAATTAAAACATATGATTATCTCTTTCACAAAATTTGTTTACCTTTTTGGTTTTGTTTGTATGTATATTTGTGTTTTCTTTTACAATGATCACCTTATCAGTGTAAGCAGAGGGTCGAGGACACTAATGTATATATAGCAAAATGAATTCTTTTATATTTGAAGGTTTTTTTAAAAACCTATCTTAAAACAATTAGTTTATGTATAGGCACTTAGTCTTAGAAACTCGTATATATAAAATTTATTGTTATGGTTAAATTTGGTTAACTATAATGACACTTTATAGGTTTCCTTTAAGTTAATTGTTTTTTTTTTATTGAATATGTAATACTTGTAGTACTAAAACTATTAAAATGGAATGTTTGATATAAAATATATAGGTATATTATAATAATTCTCATAACAGTTTATTAGCTTACATCTCAATTGTTATTTTAAAAAAATTGTAATTGTAACTTGTTAATTTACAGAATAAAGGTTTCAAATAAAGTAATTTAGAGAAGCATTTATAAGTTATGAAATTTATGAAAGTATTTTGGACATGTACATTTCAATTTCTTGCACAACGTAATCATCAGAAAATTTTAAAAAATAGAATAATTTATTTTGTAAATTATAAAAATAAAATAATTTATTTTGTAAACTATAAAAATAAAATAATTGACTTACAAATGGAGTAATTTGTCCCGTAAATTACTTCACCGAGAAAGTGTTTATCACATAAACCATAATTTGATACAGTTAAACCGCAAATATAAATGGTAAAAATTAAACTAAGAAACATTAGAAAAGAATACACAAAAGTAATTTGATTCAATTGAAGTGTTCGTAAAATTTAATCTACACGCATGACAAATATTACATGTAATGAAGAATAGATGTGAGGAATGTTTCTTGTCATTGAACTAAAATGTCACTTACATGATTTCTCTAAATAATAATAGTTTCAATAGATGACTAGACATTTTATTGAGACTACATATACTAGAACTTGTTAAAATCTCTTAGCTTCTACATGAAAACAAAAGTAAAAAAAGAAACAAAAAAACATGCAAAGAAAATAAATGGAGGAAAAAAGGGAAGGTAAGAAAAACAAAGAGATCAAAGTTACATAGTAGAGCTTTTCAAACTTGAAAAGAAGAAGTCTGATATCATAACAAAGATTCTCCTCGTATAGTAAAGATAATTGAAGACAAAAATCAAGAACAAACAAGGTCTTCAGAACATGATAGTGTGATAGTGCAAGAGATGTACGTGGAGAATAGGCAATAGAGAAAAAGAGAAGAAAAAAGTGTGAGAAGAAGAACTATTATTCATGAAAGTACTATTACATTGTTCCAAGAGAAGGTAAAAGATATTGTATAAAAAGAAAAGGAAAAGAGAAACACGAAAGGCTATAACTGTCAAACATTGAAAAGTTTGGGAATGTAAGGAGAAATTATAGATGTGCAAGAAGTAGAAGCCCATAAAATCTGGAAGTTGTGTGCATAAGATTTTACCAAAAAATGAATAAAAAAGGATTTTGTGGCAAAAGAAGAAGAAATTTAAAGTTTGAAGGTTCTACGTATGTTTAGGGTGTTGCTTCCTCCACCACCACACCTTTCTCCCTCCACCTCCCCAATTTATTTTAATTCCAATTATATCCTCAGATTAAAATTTTTTACTTTTACTATTTTAATTTATTTCAAATCTAGTTCTCCTACTTTACTCCTGCACCCAATCTTTCCATCTCTCATTTTCGTTTAATAATTTGTCTTTCGTTTTACTCTGCAACCCAATCTGTCTTCTCCGTTTCACTTCTCCTCCTCTGTTTCTTTCTTCTTCATTTTCTTTACATTATTAAAATACATTAAAAATATATTCAAAAATAATAAATCAAAACATTTAAATTAAATTATTAAAATATTTCCAAAATAAAGAATAAACTAATAAAAGAAACCCTAAAATAAAAAACGTAACTTTTAAACGGAGGTGACATCCTTCAACGGATGTCAACATCCGTTTAAGGAAAAACGGATGTCGACATTCATTTTACCTTAAACGGATGTTGACATCCGTTGAAGGATGTCTTAAAGTTTACGTTTTTTATTTTAGGATTTTATTTGAAGGTTTATTTGAATACGCACCTTGAAGAAACAACACACACTGCACCACTCCACACACTGCACTACGAGAGCGACACTGCACCACGAGAGGGAGACTGCTTGATAATTCTTTCCACCACCACCAACCTTTGCAACTTGTAAAAGAAAGAGAGGAAGAAATATAATGTTAAAATGAAAGAAAAATATTTTACTCATGTACGAGACACTAGAATAGGTTATTAGTAGAATAGGTTGTGAATGGGTAAAATTAAAAAATAACCCTAAAAATAAAATTTTACTTAGGGGCAAAATAGTAAATGGGAGGTGGAGGGAGAAAGGTGTGGTGGTGGAGGGAACAACACCCGTATGTTTATTAGGTCGAATAACTCAATGGTTCTGACCCAATCCAATTCAAATATATTGAGTTATATTCTTTTTTAGATTATTCAACGCAATCTAAAATGACACAATCTCTTATAAATTGAATAACTAATTATATATATATATATATATATATATATATATAATTTGAAACCAATTCAACCCATTGAAAATTATTATAATAAGATGTTTATTATTTGATAATATAGTTATTTATTATTTTTAATTTATTTTTGTTTTGATAGTTAACTTCTAATCATAACTTTTTGTGTAATTTTATTTACAACAAATACATATAATATTTTAAAGAAATTTAAAAATTTATTAAAAAAGTTTAGAAATTACAAATTCAATCAATTTTTATTTTTTCAAAACCTGTGATCCTATTCAATCTAGTTTTTTTTTTCTTTGAGCCATACTCAATCCAGTTGAATCAAAGATGACTGACTTGTACTGCTTGTACTGAATCTAACAAAAGCAAAATATGCAAAAACTCATTCCGTTTCTATGGGATTGGGTAATGAATTTGTCACAATCGGTACCAAAATTGCGAAGTTGAGAACAAACCGTGAGCATTGTCGTTGGATTCAATTTGGCTACTACCCTTTTATGAACTCAATGCTTTTGCTAGTTTGTAAGAAACATCATCTTTTTTTCATTTTATATTATTACCTTAATGTTCGACTAATTGTCCATTGTTCAGTTTCATGAGCACTCAAACTAGGCTAGTTTTTTCAAATTTTGTGTTGTCTTGCGAAATTGGGCACATTTTCTTTTTGTCGGTTTTTCTTTCTTAAGGAAATGCTACCTGCTAGTAACCTCTGTCATTGTTCATGAATATTTTGTGCTGACTTTTGAATGTTTGAAAAATGATAAGAAATCTTTACTATCAGAAGAGAAGAGTATAAATATCCAATACAGCTTTGGCCATTCTGAGGTGTTCACGATATACATCATGGCATGTAAATGGTCTATGGTATTTGTAATGCAAGTCTTTCATACAAAACAACCAACCACCTGAGACACCAATAAAATATGAACGGAAAACAAGGGGGAAATATGTACTGTATTTAACGTTTGTTGATGCTGAATCGTCAAACATTCTACACTCTACTATCGAAATATACCAGGTCTGACACAGTTTTCACAGACAAAAAACTCCTCACATCCCAAAGGATTAGGATCATCCATATCTCCTTGTTTACCTGCACATTTAGAGGAAACAGAGAATCAGATTTTCAAGATAGTATAAATACAACTTGAGACTATTGCTTAAAATGCCCGAATCTTCTTCTAATGACTTATATAGAATTTATTTGCCTCAGAAAATTTATCACATGACAAGTGTGTAGAAGAGGCCGTTGGATATTTCTTATTGGATATATTTCCTTCAACATTTTCTAATATTCAGTTTTCAGACAGTTTGACAGGTTTTATGTTGACAATTGCATGTCACTTTAAGGGTAAACTCAAAAAGAAAAAAGCGGAAAATTCTAACTGAGTGTAATTTATACCTTCCAGCTTGAATTTATTTTTCATAGAAAGCTATTCCACTCTTTGCCAGTTTGCTCAATTTCATTTTGTTATGGTTGGCATGACTGTTTCAAAAGCTTCCACCAGCAGCTCCACTTTTCTTTTCCTAGCCGGGGTTAATTTGGAAACAACCTGTCTAAGTGCATAATCAAGCATCCATTCTTCAGTTCCTTTTCTTTCTTCCATGTCTTGATGCCTTAAGTTAACTTTTTCAGCTTCTGAATCAGGCTCTAGAGGTAGATATCTGGGGCCTCTTGGATTGAATTTCCTTACTTTTTCCAATGACTTGATGAATCTCCTAAGAAGAATCACTTTTTTAAGATTGCTCCAGCTTCTAGACAATGGCTGGTTTGTTTTGCATTGTTCCTTTAGTGCTGCTGATTCTTTTTGCTGTTCCTGGAGTATTTCATTCCCAGATTCCATCTTTTCTTCTTTTTGGTTCAGGTCTTCACTGTACACTCTTTCAGTTCTGTCAGATTGTTTGGAGTTGTCTGATACTGTGTTGCCAGTGAGTGACTCCTTGTCTGCTAAGTCATCCTGATCATCTGGAAGAATTGAATCAATCGCTTCTTCTACCATCTTGATGGCTTCTATCTGTTGAAGTGCAACTTCTGGATCAGCTGCAGCATGGTCCTTGAATTGCATCTCTTGATTACTCACAGTTGTGCCTTCGTAAGAGATGGAAGACCCTCGTGTTCTGCTTCCATCAAATGCTGACTCTTTCCCATCTTCACCATCAATCAGTGACTTGGAATTGCTTTCAGCCATATTTGATACCATGTGTTTGTACACCAAGAACCACAATCCTGTGTTGTTCTGTTTCTCCACAGGGGTCTCAGGTTCTACAGCAGCACTCTTAGGAGCTTTAGATTGTTCTTTTGTAGGGAACTCTTCAACAGTCTCAATTTCCAACTTAACTTTTTCAGTTCCTTCTTTTCCATCAGCTGATGATTCATCTAATAGCTTCTCAGGTGCTCCTGAACCGATCAAGTTAGATCTGAGTGATCTAACTAGACCTTCTACTACTAAACTTTTAGACATGGAAAGCTTTTCCCCATTATCACCAATCAGATTCTTGGTTTCGACATCTCTTCCAGGTGACTCAGATTTGATATGTTGATTTTCTGTATTCAAACTGGATAGCAAGTCTTCTGAAACATCATTGACTACTTCATTGGTTGAATCCTCCACATGGCTGCTTGTAAATTCAGTTGGCATATTTGAGGAACTTGATCTGGTATCTTTGATCTCTCCAAGAAAAATATTATCATTGTCACTTGATAACTTCTCATTATCATAACTCCTGGCTAAAGATTGCTTTCCATTCAAGTCTTCTTCAATATCTCTAAATACTGGCATATTATCGACTGCCTCAGTCTCAGTATAGTCAACACATCTTTCTTTAAGCATGGTAGGACTGTGCATTTCTATCATTGGATCATCACCAGTACTAACAGCCAGTTCCATGGTACACTTATGAGAAAGTGATGCTTCTTCCTTGCTATGATTTGAGGAATTCTCAAGGGATTGAATTAGATTTGATTGATGCTCCGTTGTTGCAGAAAGCCGTGTACTACTTTCAACATCTTGAAATGGCTGAACTGTTTCAAAAGCTTCTACTAAAAGTGTCACTCTTCGTCTTTGAGCAGGTGCAAGTTTAGAAATAACCTTTTGAAGTGCATAGTCAAGCATCCATTCCTCAGCATGCTTTTTCTCTTCTGCTGTTTGGTGCTTGAGAAAAACTTTTTCCATTTCAAAGTTAGCATCAGAAGGAAAACGTCTTGGCCTTTGAGGATGGATATTTCTTACCTTCTCCAGTGCTTTTACAAACCTTTTCCAGAGAATTAACTTTTTCAGATTGCTCCAGCTTTTCGGTGCTCTTTGATCAGATTTGGTCTCCATCCTCTGTGCTATTGGAGATTCTGTGGATTCTGAGGTTTTCCATTCTGTCTGGCCATTGTTTTTTTCTAAGAGTACCTCATCTGAATCAGCGCCTTCAGATTTGGAATTATCATCAGAAAAGAGTTCTTCAGGTTCTGGGAGAAGAATTTCATCAAACGCTTTCTGCACCAGCTCAATTACATTCTTATTTTCATCATCCATATCCTGGTCTGTATCACAATCATCTCGACAATTAGAGTTGTTTACTTCATTAGTTGTAAGGAAACCTTGCTCTCTTCCTTCCTTGTTCCCTCCATCAAAGGGCGGCTTGTTTTCACATTTCCCTGTGTTACTTAGTACAGTATGTTTGTACACCAAGTGCCACATGTTGATGTGCTTTTTATCTCTTTCTTTCATTCTACAGGCCATATCAGTAGTGCTAGCATCTGTAGACTCTTTCGGTACAGAACTCACCTCAAGTACTTCATTGTCTGGCTCCATATTTTTGCCTGTGTTGGTTACTTCTCCCTCCAACATCTCAATATCAGGAGCAGAAAACTGAACTCCATCTGTTGATACTGGTTCTACACTTTCAGTAACTGTGGATTCTGGAGTATCATGAGGCCTAATACATGAGTCCCTTGCCAGCTTTTTCTTGTTCTGAAAATGAGATTTGCCACCTTCACTGTGGACAGTTTGAGTTTTACGAGTACCTTTCTTTGCATTACCAAACTGATTTGATCTAGTAACAGGTTGATTATCCATTTTCGTTGGCTTCTGGCTCTTCGACTTGCGCCTCCTCATTGACACAAAGCGCTTCAATGGAGGCAGATTCCCATGGCGGTGACCATGAAGTGAGCAGTAAGAATATGGACAAACCTTGGCAACAGCTGATACTCCTTGAGAGTCACTTTCCTCTTGAGGGAAGCCAATGTGATCAGGAAAATGGGAATCCTTCAGAGCAGAAGAGCAAGTGGCTCTAAGCAAGCTTGTGTCTGGGGATTGGCCACTCTCCATGGAAGAATTCTTTGATTTGAAAGTGGGAATCTTTGCTAAGATCCTCACAGGCTTCAAGCTTAATCTTCTGGTAATGACTCTCTGGGTTTTGTTATCAGCAGCATCACTTGCACTTATCCAATTCTGGTCACCACTGCCATAACTAGATTCAGATAACTTTTGGCCCTTGACCGTTACAAGCATGATTGATCTAGACGACTTCACTTTCCTCTTTGGTTCGGTCCTACCAGATACTTTTCTAGTCAGACTCCTCTTCAGTTTCAAAGTAGTCATTCTTCCCAAAGTCTTCTTTGTGAACAATAGTCTTTCTGTATTCTGCCCAAAAGCAGCATTGTATTATTATTACTCTTACTATTCTCCCAACAATTGAAACCATTCAAAATTTCAAATCACTTTTACAAATTCAGAATCTTCAAAATCAGTAGATTACCTGAACACTATCCTTTGCATGAGAACTACTGGTACCCTTCATGTAATGGGGTGATGCATCTGCCATACCAAGTGGTGTTAGCCCCTCTAAATTTTCTGTGCTAACTGATGAGAGAATGGAGAGATGATCATATTGGGGTCTCCCTCTAACGGATGATCTCTTGCTTGGCAACCTTACAAGCCTTATTGACCTCACTTTCTTCAGTTTCTTCTTGGATTCCAGTCTTCTATTTTCTGATTGCCCGGAAACAGATTCATCTGTTCCAGACACTCCCTGAGATTCTGCAGAGTCACTCTGGCTGCCTTCAATTTCCACCTTCATTCTGCAGATTCTGTACAATTCATGGAATCAAAATCATGGAGAGAAAAATTATAGACACAACATCAAATAAAGCAAACCAGAACATGGAAAAAGAAAAAAGAGTCTGTCTTTTACCTGATTATGAGTAACAATTATGCTGGAGATTGAGAAATGTCCTTCTTTTTCTACCCTTTGTGGCTGTGAGGAAAAAAAGTGTTTCTTTGAGAAAGTAGAGAATAGAGTTATTGCTTTTCTTTTCTGCAAAGAAAACTGAGATAGAGAATCCAGAATGTGGAGTTTTCATACAGTTGTCTTTGTTTACTGAAGATCTTATAAGACCAGATATTAATCTTAATATTAATATTATTATAATAATAGGCCTAAAGAAAAGAAAAAAGAAAAAGCATTTGGCTTTTAATTTTAGAATTGAACGTGTCCAAAGATTAAAAAAAATGAAAAGTGGGACCTGGAGGTGCTTGACCAGTAGGTTGGAATGGGGAGGAAGAGTCTATTGTGTGGAATTGACTTGGCTTGGTCAATTCAATTGGCTCTTCGTGGAAGCTGCTCCTTCCTCGTTAGTCTCACAATTTTTATCAGGACAAGAATAGTTTAACAATATTTTAGTATTTATAATTATTATTATTAATTATGAAATAATTTTAAATTATTCACGTAATGACACATTTAAATATTATCAAAAAATATTGTCAAAATATTATTATGTTCTAACTAATCCTTTCTTACAATTCAGAGTTAATTGAATCACAGGTGTTACTTTTTTTTCTAGTTTTTAATACTGTTAGTATTATTAAATATTTATTAATTAAAAATGTTATGTGAAATTTATGAAGTGAAGTAATTAAGTGATCATTACCATATAAAGTTTTTAATGTTATAGTATTTTCCTGTTGAGATCCGAGGAGTCATCGTTGGGACAGATCAAGTGTGGTGTGTGGAAACATAACGCGTTGATCAATGATGAGAACAAAATGGTGGGACCACCGATTTGCTCACGCGCAATTGACGCAATTTATTTCCAACCAAGATCATGTTTGGTGTGGGATTAAAGTCAATTTTTTAGGGTGTGTTATAGTGTTTGAAGTCTTAATATTGTTTTGTAAGTATTTTTAAGTGCATTTAAGTTTATCTAAAAATATTTGTAAGTATTTTGATATCAAAGTTAATTGATTATTTAATATAATAATAAATGTATGTCACTTAATTTTTTATTTTAAATATTTATTTATAAGTTTTGTGGTGAGTTTTTATAGTTTAATTGTGAGTAATTATATTTTACTTTTAAATTGATTAATTTTAAGGTTAATTTATTTTGGGATGTTTATCCCAATTAGTTTAATTTATGGCTTAAATGTTTACTGTGTTCTCATGTTAAGAGGTGAATTTTTGTTTAGTACTCAAATTTTAAAATATTGACATTTGGTTCCTATGTTTTTAAATTTGTATCAATTCAGTCATATCCGTTAAATTGGTAGAAACAACGTTAACTTTAGGCTTATCTGATTGCACTTTTTTCTCTCTCCTCTACTCTTCCAGACACCTTTTTCTCTCTCTTTTCTATTTCTCTCACCATTAACTACCTGCCACCAAAGAAAGCTCATGATTCACTTAGAAATATCTCATTAATCTTCTTCTTTCTACTCAGCTCGTTACAGTTTGTCATATAATTGATAATTTTTCTTATTTTTATTCAGTTCATTACAGTATGTCATATCTTTTCATGTTCATGTACATGTAAATTGTGAATATAAATTATAGAGATTTTTTTTTCTTCATTCGTTATTACAATCATTGTGTTGTTTTTCTGTTAATGTACCTTGAAGATTTTGACAAAGGAATGATGCTAAGTAATAGCCTAGATGTAGGACCAAAAACATGAAAATCTCTGCTTTTTTACAGTAAAATGATAAATAAATGTTAACTTTAGGTAAATGACCATGTTTCGGTTTAGGACTATACTTTAAGCCAAATGTTAGTGACTGCATCAGGAAAAAAATAGCACTATACTTTCAAAGCTAGTCAGTAGTATCAATTAGTACATTCATAATATATAATAGTCATAGCAAATGCTTTTAAACTTTTCTCTTCATATAATGTGAAACTGAAACAAAAAGCTTTTTTCTGTTCTAATTGCATTTCCGGACAGAAAATAAGCAATTTCAAATAGTTTATTTATGTGTGGGAATTTTATAGTGTAATGAAATAGAGAGAAGTGATTCATGTTAAACAATAAGTTCCAATAATAAAACTATGATAGTTAATGTAAGGTTTTATCCAAAAAGTTGTCATTCAATTTAAGTAAGCATCTTCAAATAAATTATTGCAATTCAAAATGGTTTTCTGTATTATTTATGGCTGTTACTAAGTCTTTTCTGATATTGTATTCTGCTTGTTGCATGATACTGTAATTTTTTTTTCTTTTACTTTTTTGTATTGGCTTGATTTGTGGTTGTTCATGACTCAGTTCATGTCATAAAAGGTAAAAATATTGATACATTTTTTTAAAAGAAGTTGAGGACAGAAATTGACTATTTTTTCTGATGAAATTTGACAAATGTTATCATAAATGGATTAATCATTGACAATCAAAGCATTGGATTAATGAATTACTAGTGGAATAAGTGAAGCACCGATAAAATTACATAAATTAGTGTAAGTTAAATATTAGGAAAATGTTATTTGGACAACAAAAGTTTGACACAATTTTGACAACGGCGACGTGGCAGCTGTGCATTGGCTCAGTGAACCGGGTTGAGGGGTATTTTGGTGTTTTGTCTGGGTTTGTTTTCAATTCACTGAGCCAATGCACAGCTGCCACGTCGCCGTTGTCAAAATTGTGTCAAACTTTTGTTGTCCAAATAACATTTTCCTAAATATTAATCATATATTCAAGATATATATTAATTTTTGTTTGTATATATAATTAAAATATTGACTTGAATGTTTTTAATTCATGTCAAATGAGTGAGTGTTAAATAATTTTTTTTATCTGAAGTCATTGCGTTTCAGTCGTTATAGAATTGTGATTCTAGATTTTAATCTTTGTAAAATATTTTTCTTTAGTTTTCATTCTTTTAAAATTATAAATTACATACTTGTGTTGCTAATATCCATTGTAGGATAGATAATTAACATGTATTTTAAAAATATTTTAAAAGAAAAATAAAAAAAAATACTTGTTGCAATATCACAACACTAATAGATAGGAGTTGAAATGGTCTCCTGATTTAATAAATTTACATAATATTAGCCATATAAAATAATAATTTTACTATATTTTTTTCTTTTTATGATTGTGAATATCTGTAAATAGGTTTTGAGGTTTTAGTATTTTAAATTTCTGTCATATTTTAAGCGCTTAATTTTTTTTAATCATAGTTATTTATATAGTTATCATCAAAGGTATCTACACGAGTAAATTTTGTAAAATACACGTTAAAATATGGACGACAACAGGTTAAAATGATATAAGATAAATTTGTACATATTTAATTTTCATTAAAAATTCATTTTGTTAGGTGAGCTTGTATTAAATAAAAAATTTATACTAAATTTTATTACTATCTTGTTTTATAATCAAAACATGTAAATATAAATATTAACACTAGCAAATTAATATTCTCAGCATTTGTCTAAAAAGCTTCTAAGAATGTATAATAAATGCTTGTAAAGCACTCTTACCTGATCTCATCCGTAGAAAATTTTTAAAAAATTATAATACATGAAAAATCATTTTTTTTAATTTTTGGTTAAAATGTCTCTTTAGTTTTTCAAAAGTAATTTTTTCATCAAATTTAAAAATGATTTTTCTACTATTCCAAATTTGAAAATAATGTTTAGTCCCTATGAATAGATTTCGTTAATCTCTAGTAAACCAATTTCTTATGATTTAAAAAAAAAAACAAAGATAACTAACATTGTAGTTCACATTATAAATATAGTTTATGGAAATTTTAAACATTTCTTAGTTTTTTATTATTGTGATTCTTGTTCTTTTTCAATGGTCCATGTGGCAATTATCTATGTTTTAAAAGTATGGTTCACTTAGTTTTCTCTTTGTCGTGAATGAAAATTTGACTTCTCTAGAAAGGTTTTAGCCGGTGAAAATCAAACAAAATGGTCTCATAGCATTCACACTAGGAAGCTACCATAGATATATAAAATATTGTATCTCATATTCCAACAACTAAGAATGTGGTGGATCAAATGGGAACTTAGGGAATTCATATTTTTTTGTGAACTTTTTTTTACTATCTTTCAATATATATATATATATATATACACATACACACACACGGATATTAATATATTAAAATTTTTCTATTTATATTATCTTTAATTCAAAATATTAAAATAATAAATTTATACATCTATATTTTATATATTATTTTTTATTTAATATAAAACTTAAATTTCCAACAATGAATACAAATAAAACTTTATGTCTCGTGTGAACTAAAAAAACCAAATTTAATAGAATTATTTGTGGTTGCGGATAACTGGCGGTTTGAAAAATTGCTTAGAAAAAAATTGTTGATAAGTGATTTTCAGGAGTTTTGCTCAAAACAGTCATAATTTTTGGGGGTTTTAGTCAAAACGTCTAGAGAGGTTATTAAAAATCGCTAGTACTTACACAAAACCACCAAAACTAATTAGGGTTTGGGAAAAGTTGCAGGGATTCTTGAAACTGCCAGGGATTTTTCAAACCATCAAAACTAACAACCACGGGAACTTACAAAGGTCTCAAAACTGTCGGAAATACATCATATTGGTTTTTTTATATTACATTAGTTATTATGATAAAAAAATCTCTAATAAACCAAAGACACAATAAAATAATCTAAAATTAAATATTATATAAAATAAACTTTAAACATGTTTAAAGTAATTGTTCAAAATAAAATAATAAAATTATTCAATTACATATTAAAGAAAAACATGTTCACTAAGAATGATTAATTTTAATCTTCTTCGTTCAATTCATCTTCATTTGATATACTTCCTTGATCAAATATCTACAATATAAAATAATAAGTAGTCACTAATCTATTTTAAATAAATTATTCCATATATCTAGCCGTTACTATCGGTGATAGTTGAAATATGACAAATTGTGAAATTGGTGTGTTTTTGAATTTTTGTTGTTTTTTTTTTTTTTTCTTATTGTTGTTGGATTGTTTTGTTTTTGTTTTGGTGTGGGGTTTTTTGTGAGGTGTGTTTGAAGTTTGGGGTTTTTTGTGTGTTTTGATGGATGTTTTGTCTTTTTTGGGTTTGGTTTTTTTTGTGTTGTTTTCTTGTGTTGAGATGTTTTGTTTTTTTG